TCGAAACATATATAAGAAACTGTGTGAAGAAATATCAAGCCAATTATCATCTAATCTAGAAACTGTCTCACATGAATATGCGAACAATAAAAGTACCATAGTGGATTCTGTACCTTATCATCCTTGAAGACGTTCAAGATTTCATCACGATCCCAAAGTCTACTACGCATGCCAGGATCTTCAACGTTTTCATGTCTAACGATTTGTCTTCCCATGTCTCTAACTTGATCGTGCATCCACAGCATACCGTCTTCATAAACCTTCATGAGAGATTTTGCGGTGAGGTCAGCAATTGCTATCTCACCATCAAAACCACAACCCTTCAGTATGTCAATGGCATCTTCTCTCTTCATATTCATTTTCACAAATAAACATGCAAAGTCAAGGAAGATACACTTCTCTTGCTCGTCTAGAGCATCATAACTTATCTTTAACACATCTTGAAGATCGCCGGGACGAATATGTTTCAGTTTCTGCAGACTGTCTCTCCATTCCTCTATTCTCCTCCGATAAAATATGTAAGAGCCAAATACTTCAAGAGCCAACGGTAGCCCACCTGTGAGAGACACAATCTGCTTGGACAGGGCCAGGAAATCATCAGGGGGCTTTTCTTTTCGCAGCGCATGGTAGCTAAACAGTTCAAGCGCCTGGGACGAATCCAACTCCCTGACCTCATACAACTTGTTCACAAGACGATCGGGCAAGGCACTTCTATCTCTTGTGGTAACAATGATTCTGCTTCCTTCATAAAACCAGTCTCTGTTGCCAACTAAAGCACTTAGTTGCTCTACATTATCAACATCATCCAAAACAATAAGAACTCGCTTCTCGTACACAGTCGCTTTTATTGCAGAAATACCAACGTTAAGTTCATTTACCGGCATCTTCAGAGTAGAAAGACTACCGATAAGTCTGTTTTGAAGCGTTACTAACCCCTCGTGTCCTGCAGAAGTTTCTCTAACATTTGAGATGAAGCCGCGATGCTCGAAGTAAGCAACAAGTCTGTTAAAAAGGGCCTTGGCAAGAGTCGTCTTGCCAACACCACCCATGCCATGAATTCCGAGCACTCGAACGCCATTGGATCGAACATCCAACAACCTCATCGCATCTTCAACTCGAGAATCAAGTCCCACTGTGTAGGAAGCAAGACCTACCGGGGTTTTCCTTATTTCATTCAAAACCCTTTTGACCAACCCCTGAACCACCTCTGCTTCCTTGCTGTCAAATTACATGACCACAACTACATTAGTTTGCCTCTTGGGGTGATGAGCACAAAAGATAACTTTAGCTTTTACACCTCTAATCTTTTGGATTAAGATTTCAAAGACATGAAGCAAACTAACCAAGAGAGGAATCACGTGATCAATTGAAGAAAAACTATGACCAACTTAATTTGATTAACATTTTGCTTCAATCATACAACAACAACAAAGCTTTATCCTACGGAATGGGGCTACTGTATGACTCCCAGAATGCTACTGCGCTCGGTTTTGCGCCATAATCTTAATCTTAGATATTTTGACTTAGTTTTTCAGCCCTAATTGCAGTGTGAAACTTTAAATTGTAACCTGAATGAGAAGGATAGTTAATTGGGAAGAAGATATTATATAAAACTGAGATTTGACAAATCCCCAGATCCAAATGCATGCAGCAGCCAAAACTCAAACCATATTATATATGAATATGAATAAACAAATAGTAAACTAGGCCGTAAGATTTACTCAGTTAACTCATACTTCCAATAGACTCCAAAAAACCTTAAACATTAAATAATCAAATTCCTAATCATTTCAATTTCTGCATGCTGCTGTTAGCTAGCTAGGGTTTTAACAGATCTTTAACTGCTTGAGTGGGGTTTTAACAGAAATTAGTTATGAATCAATTTTAGTACTATTACTGATTTAATTACTACCTGGAGGAGTTGCAAACGTAACCGGCTTTGCCACCGACTTTGGCCATGGCGCTCCTCCACCTCGAGACGACGGCGTTTCCATACTGCAGTTCGTGAGCTGAAAAATGTTCAGAAAACGGGCCCCTCTGTCGACGGACGTCGGAGGGATCCACTTGGTAGAACACAGGCAGAATCAGACACCTCCTGCTGCTCTCGCATATCTTAGCCAGCTCCTCCAAGCACCACCTCGAATCGGCGTATCTCCGCGACAAGACGACGATTGCGGCCGCCGAGTCGTCGATCGCTTCCAGCAGGGTCGGGGCGATGTCGTCCCCGCGGTCCAAACCGTCGTCGTCTAAGAAGACTCGGACGCCACGGCTTTTGAGGGCCTCGTACAAGCTCTTCGTGATTGTTGAGCGCGTGTCTTCTCCTCTGAAACTCAGGAACACGTCCCAGCGTAGCCGGAAGCCACCCGGGGTTGACGAAATGGCGTCGCCGTCGTCGTCTTCTCCCGCCATTTGCCTCCTTTGCACGTCTACGCGTTCGACATTATGGGCGTTCGTATGGTTAAGCGGGTGTGATATTCACACACCCTAAGTTCCTGATACTTTGCCCACCACCCTAAGTTCCTAACCATTTTTCCCTAAGTTGCTGATACTTTGCCCACCACCCTAAGTTCCTAACTATTTTTCCCGCGCCCTTTCTTATTTTTTAATACTTAATTGGTATCCTACGATTTAATCTTCCATATATATCATTCCTACTTTTTAACTTATGAGAGTTGTTTTTTATTTTTTATTTATTCACTTAGTAAGAACCAACACTCAAAGATAAATATATTTAGTTTGACTTATGAAAGTTGTTTTTTATTTTTGATTTTTTCACTTAGTAAGAACCAACACTCAAAGATAAATATATTTAGATGTGTAAAGAACACATGAAGGTAGATATATTTTTGTTGATTTTTTGAGTGTCTTTGAGTGTTGGTTATTCCTAAGTGAAAAAATCAAAAATAATAAAGGGGTTTTTTGATATGGGTTCAAAATAACTAAAATTGAACCTATTTCAAAAGTCAAAAGTCACTAAAAATTGGTCATATTTCAAAATGTGACCTATAAAATTGAACCTATTTCAAATTTTCCTAATAAAAAACAACTTTCAAAAGTCAAAAAGTAGGAAGGGTATATATGAAAGATTAAATTGTAGGATATTAATTAAGTATTAAAAAATTAGGAAGGGTGTGAGAAAAGTAGTTAGGGGTGTGTGAATATCACACCCCTAGTTAAGAAGTGAGCACATATTCCCTCCCAAAAAAAAAAAAAAAAAACATTGAGTTCGATAAAATAAAAGGTATAGTAAATAGTACCATGATTGATTTTTTAGTGTAAAAATATGATTTTTCATTAAAATAAACAGTACATGAAACTTTTTATTAAAATTCCCAAAAAAAATGTAGAGATGATAACTTAGAGGTGAACATGCTTATTAAAATTTTAACATTTTGACAGAATGGTGGAACATCACATTTTATTATATAAGTGAAGAAAATTCAATTTAAATTGTAATTTTTTAATACAAATATCTCACTATTTATATATTATTTTATATTATGAACACGCTGAAAAAAAATTCCTTGCTTAGGATCTAGAAACCTTTCGGGGGAAGGTTTGGGAAAAAAAGCAAAAAATAGTAAAAGATGGATGGTCCCAGACTATCTGAGTAAGAAAAATATACTATATGTTGTAATATAATATGTGGATGGCCCACATGAATAGTTTGTTACTATTTATCTAAAAAAAAATCAAATGGATTATTATTCATATGAAGAAAAACATATGAGTTACTATTCATTTGAAGAAAATTTGGGAATTGGATTCTTTCCGAGGCAATGCCTCGGAATCCTACTGATCGAACAACATAGGCCGTTGGATTTTGATCCAACGGCTACAATTATTATAACTTTTAGAGGGACCCCCTATTTGTAGTCGTTGGATCAAAATTCAACGGTCTATGTTGTCCAGTCAGTAGAATCCTGAGGCATTGCCTCGGAGAGGATCCAATTCCGAAAATTTATATAGTAAATAGTATTGCTACAGTAATCTTTTGCTTATAAAAATAAATGAGAAGGAGAGTTGACACACAACTCTTGGCCGAGAAGAGAAACATAAGGAAGAGAGAAAAGAGAGGAAGAAGAGGAGATAATAGAAAGAGTTATCTTTATACTCTTATTATTTCAAATTATAAATGAAAGCACGCTGCTGCCCCGAGGACATACTTTAGTCATACTGACTGTAGAGGAACCTCGTAAATTTTGTGTCTTGTTTCATTTATTCCACTGCACACATAACGCCGATTTTACAACAATATAAAGATATTTTGAGAACATTCTGAATGTTTGGTATAGGTCTATTTTGTGCTTATTAAATATTTAATGTAATGCATGCTAGGGATAACTTAATATGTTGTGTGGATAACACTCGACAAGTTCTTTCTATATCACTCATCAGATTACTTCAGTATATGTCAGATATCTGTAGACATGTGCACAACAAGCCCACCATAAGAATAAACTGATTTGTTTTTTACATGCTTCGCTTTCTGTTCTTATCTAAAAAACTTGTATTTAACACTATGACCTCCAAAATTCAAATCCTGAATCCGTCACTAGGAGGGATGGCAGTCACAAGAAAGGGAGAGAAGTGTCCAAACCCCCAAAGAGAGCTCTCAAGCCTCTCCCCCTCCATATAAATGTCATAGCTCTTCAAATACTCAATACAAATACAACCATAGTGAATGTAGTCATATTATAGGTGAACAGCTATAGGTCTGTATTTATTATGTCTAACTACGACCTAACCATTGACTTCCACTCCCGCAAAGTTATTAGTTGTCCTACTAGTTTTTGGCGACAATATATATCATTGACATATTAATTATGAAAAAAGTACTTATAGTGTAACTGTAAGGCCATCACGTTATTGTTTTTGTTGATTTCAGCCATTTGCAGACGAGGGGGATGACTCTTCTTAGCCAAACAGCATACTCTTAAATATATTTGGTTAGTTTTCAAACTCTTTATCCTGCTATTTTTCTTTCTAAAAATTAGAAATACAAAAAACTCGGATCATAATTAGGCAACAAAGTACAGTTGGTTACATACATATAGATATCCTCGATTCCGTTCTTTCCGTAACAAAATTTTCAGGAATTCGACGGGATGCAAATCCAGCAAACAAGGTTCTTATGCATTATGCACCTCCAAATTGACAATCGTCGATGAGGCAGGACCGCTGGAAAGTGGCTATGTCCGTTAGCTTGTGCTTAGTAATTGACAAGACTATCTTGGAAGACAGATGAAGCAGCTAATTAAAACAGAATCTTGCAACAATGATGGCGCTCTGTACTGCGGTCCATCTTGAAAACAAATCCGTTGATTATCCCATGCTCCTGTTAGATTAGAGGCAAATAAAAGATGAGCTGTGACATCCCGATTTGCCCTGGTGGATTTTAGAAAGATATAGGATATGCCGAAATCATTATTCAGGCTTCACCTCTCCTGAGCAGCAGGGCTTATGGGAATGACACCGGCTGGAGATGCAAGAGCATCCACAGAAACATCATTTGAAGTGACAGCTATGGCTCCTTCCTCCACGATCTGTACAGAATATGACAGCGCAACTGCAACCAAATCATAGAGAAGACGACATCATGAAAAAACTGTACTATCAAGCACTAGCAGCAAGTCCAAGACCATATATAATTACAAGTTACCGTTGAACTAACAACAATTGTTATTTACCTCGAAGGGGCTCCTTCCATTGTCGTTGCTTTGTAAGCTCTTGGTACTTCTTTAGGAACAAATCATAGTAACTTCAAGATTCAACCAGGCAATCAAATAGTTCAGCAAAGTTATACCAGTATCTTAGAAAAGAAATTAATGAATGAGATGCATTGCTATGGGTCTAGATTTCAGGTAGCTTCCATGTTCGACAATTCAAATCATCAAACACTTAACAGCCTTATTAGAGTCCAGTGATCATGCATCATAAATGAACAAATCACACGAACTCTATCGTGGTTAGAAATTAAGATAATGTAAAAAACTGAAGCAAAGATGCATCAACCTACCCTCCACCACGGCCTAAACGCCTTCCACATCTGTCAAATGCAAGCCCTAGAATAAAAACTGATGTGAGATAACATGAAATTATACTTTTAAGTCTCCCACAATTGGAGTTTTCTGAGGTAGGTAAGTAATTACAAGCAAGGTTAAGAAAAAAATACACACCGGGCAGGATGAACAAGTCAACTGGATCGCTTGCCTCCAAAACTGCAACAAATAGGTCCTTCAGGTCCTTCAAATAATTAACCGCCATTACCAACAACCGAAAAAGAAACTACTTCTAGGAGGAAAATATTGAAAACAAATTTTAGCACAAATGAATGTATAAACAGATCGAGAACATTTACTCGTGCAAATTATAGTTTAGAAAAAGGGTACCATCTTCGTGTTGTTTCCCATCAGAATCCAAAAGAGCTGGCTCCAAAATGTCCATCGAGTTCACGATCAGATCATCAACGCTGGAAATCCTAAGCATCCTCATGTTGCTATTCCTATCCTCCACACGCGGAACATAAAGCTTTTTCCTGTTCTGCACATCACCCTCTTGAGTTGAAACCAACAGTAAGGATCTCCAAAAGTTTAAGCACAACAACAAAATGCAGACGAATTATGAACACACACAAATGCTATATTATACACGCACCATTGGCAGGTTTGGATAGAATTTCTGAAACAATTCTTGACGTATCGACTTCTCGTAAAGCAGGAGAGCTTATGTAAGCGCATATGCTCTTACTGGATTGGAACCAGGGAGCATTTAAAACAATGCTCTGAATTGCAGCATCTGAGAATTCAACAGTTTCAGTCAGACAAAAACACAAACACTTAGAGGGCAATTTGAGGAAGCTCGAACTTGAACGGGCTACCTTCTTCGGACCTCCGAACCGGGTCCATATTCTTGAGCTCTTTGCGGATTCTGGACCGGAGCAACCGCTTCTGCCGGAATATAGCTTCGATTGGGTCGTTGTCGTCTCGGTTCATGGTGGCGTAGGGGCGGTGAGAATGGGATGCGAGGCGTTCGTTAGCTAAGCGAGAAGGGAAGAGGGTACGAGAAGCTAACGTGCGCGGCTTGGTGATGAGCGCCACCGCCTCCTTTGCCCCGTTTATGAGCCCACTCGCGCTTGCTCTGCTGTGACTGAACATGCTTCGTGACTCTCGTGTTTTTGCGGGTTTTTCCGTTAATTTGGCGCTCTTTGGTTGGAGAAATTTTTCCAAGTGCCGGGTTCCCTCACACATCAGGATTTGACATCTTGAATATCCTTCAATTTTATATTTCAATAAATATAAAAAACTAAATCCTAATGTGTGAGGGAACACCATGTGTCATGGTGTTCCCGGCACATGGAAAAATTTTTGCTTTGGTTGCGCGTAGGCGCGGTTGAAGAGTTCGGGTCGGATAGGATTTGTTTACGGTTCAGGTCATATAAGATTTGTTTACACCGCATTATAATTTAAAGAAAAACTAATTAAAAGGATTTGAAAACTTTGAATTTTAATGATAAAGATAAAATAAAAGGTAAATTAAATAATACCATGATTGACTCGTTAAAGTAAACAATTCTGGAAGCTTTTCGTTAAAGTTCCTTACATTTAAATTTAATGGTCTAAACCATTTCATTTTAGGTCTTCTTTGAAAAATATTTGTGAGAAAGAATTATTCAAATTTTGAATCGTTTACTTACTCAATTAAATGGTTGTCGTTTTAGTGTTGTCTATGTTATCATGTTCCTTTATTTTCTTGATTATAGTTAAATGTCTTAACAATTCCTAATTTGTTTTAAATTTCTATGAAGATGGTTTTTTTTTTTATAACAAAAGTACGAGAAATAACTGATTTACAACAATAAAGTTTGTATATAAAATCATATTATGGACAATTTTTTTGCACACGCACAATTTCATTGTGTGTGAATTCTCATATCATACTCGTTGGTTTATATAACATCATCAAGAAAGGTCTATGTAGACATCAAAATTTCGGTGAAATGAATGTTGACCAATAATTAAAATTTCAACACTCACGTGTCACATAAATTTTACATGTAGCGTGTGACTCAACGAAAAATCGAAATAAATTGGAAAGGTCATCAAATAGGACACGTGTCAATACCTAGCAGAAATGATTTATTTCATCTGATTATTTAAATTCAAAAATCAAGTTTTGGAATTCTATAAATAGGAAGTCAAGGCATTCATTTGAAAAAAAAAAGAAAGGAAGGAAGGAAGAGGAATTTGCATTACACAAAAACCTTCAAGCCTTGAAACTCTAAAGGTCTCAAGCAAATCCCGAAGGACCAAGAAAACACTCTTCGTTCTTCGTCAAATCCTCCTTCAAGATCAAGCCCCAACGACCCTTGAAGAACTTCCACCAACTCAAGATCAAGCCCCGACGGCCCTTGAGGAAAGTGTTCATCGCTCATCATCCGTTCATCTTAAGATCAAGCCCCCAACGGCCCTTTGGATCAACAACCTCAACAAATCCACACATCCAATCGTTCTTCAAGATTAAGCCCAAAAGCCCTTGAAGATCCGCTCATTCATCAACCTTCAAGATCAAGCCCCGACGGCCCTTGAAGAACTTCCACCAACTCAAGATCAAGCCCCGACGGCCCCTTGAAGAAAGTGTTCATCATTCATCATCCGTTCATCCTAAGATCAAGCCCCAACGGCCCTTTGGATCAACAACCTCAACAAACTCATACACCCATTCTTCAAGATCAAGCCCAACGCCCCTTGAAGATCCATTCATCAACTGTTCATCCTTAGATCAAGCCCCGACGACCCTTTGGATCAACAACTCATCCACAAACCTACACCCTACGAAGATAGAATCAGAGGACCAAATTACAAAGAGATTGTAACCCCAAAATCATTAATACAAATATATATTTTGTACACGTATTCTTGTCTCTTGTTTCAGGAATTTTTCGTGTTTACAAATTTGGCACGCCCAGTGGGACTATCTCTACCTCTCATCTCTATCCTCAAATCATCGAAAAACGCAAATGGCATCAAGAAAGGATCAAGCTGTTCCTGCAATCAAAGCAAAGAACAAGAACATCATCGCCGCAAGTGGTGATATTTCGGGCATCATAACCCGAAGTAAGGCAAAAGATCTTTTTGCCGCGGCTTCCGCCCCTGCATTAACTCTGTCAAAGGAACAACAACACCTGAGGTACGAGCCTGTGATCACCCTAGCCTCGCTAAGGGCATCAATGGGGGAAAGCCCGAGGAAATACTCAGAGTCCCTACTCTCCGACGCTGATTCGAGCGGCAGTACAACCATGCAAGTCATGACCACTGGAGCAACTTCAATCGAGGAGCAGCTAGCTCAGATGAATGAAGCAATATCAAAGCTCACACGGACTGTGGAAGAGAAGGACTTGCAGATTGCCGCACTTGTCAACCAACTAGATGCGCTGCCCGACGTGAAAGTCGACCCAAATGTTGGCCTATTAAAGAAAAAAGTCGACGAAGAAGAGGAGCCACCAGCGGAGAAAGTTGAAGAAAAGCCGAAGCTAGACCAAGCAACGGCATTCATGAGATCTCTCTCTATCCAGCAGCTACAGGAGATGATCGCAAGCACTATCAAGACACAGTACGAAGGAAGCTCGCATGACTCCGTACTATACTCAAAGCCTTACTCCAAGAAGATTGATGCTTTGAAGATGCCAAGGGGTTATCAGCCCCCAAAATTCATGCAGTTCGATGGAAAAGGCAACCCGAAGCAACATGTCGCTCATTTCATTGAAACTTGCAACAATGCTGGGACAGAGGGAGACTACCTCGTCAAACAGTTCGTGCGTTCACTAAAAAGTAACGCTTTTGACTGGTACACTGACCTCGAACCTGAGTCTATCAACAGTTGGGACCAGCTAGAAAGGGAATTCCTCAACCGTTTCTACAGCACTCGTCGTACTGTAAGCATGTTAGAGCTGACCAGTACGAAACAGTGGAAAGATGAACCTGTCGTCGACTACATAAATAAATGGCGTTCTTTAAGTCTGGATTGCAAAGATCGGCTTTCTGAAACCTCTGCCATTGAGATGTGCGTTCAAGGCATGCAGTGGGGACTACACTACATCCTTCAAGGCATCAAACCACGAACATTTGAGGAGTTAGCCACCCGCGCCCATGATATGGAGTTAAGCATCACCCGTCATGGGAAGAAAGAACAGATCGCCGACTACATGAATGACAAAGTTTTGGGGCCAAAGGTGGATAAGGCTACGTGGAAACCCACCAAGGAAGCAATGACGGTCAACACAACTCCAGTCAAAATCCATACACGAAGCAAGGCGATTCAAACCGAAGCTTTTCGTGATCAAGAGATACGTAGACGCACTTTGAAGGAGCTTGAGGAGAAGACTTATCCATTCCCCGACTCTGACGTGGTTGCCATGTTGAAAGACTTGCTTGACAAAAAGGTGATCGACCTACCTGAGTGCAAACGGCCAGAAGATATGAACCGTACTGACAGTCCAAGGTACTGTAAATTCCACCGCTTCATTAGTCATCCGACGGAAAAGTGCTTTGTGCTAAAAGATCTCATCATGAAGTTGGCTCAGAAATGGATCATCGAGCTAGATCTTAATGATGTGGTGAAGTCAAACTATACCACCGTCATTTCTGGCTCTTTGAACTCAAAATCTTCACCTCAACCGCTGGGGGCATGCTCCAAAACCATGTCAGTCAAGTCAAGTGAAGTTGAAGGATGGACTTATGTCACTCCAAAGAAAATGCACAAGAAACATAGGTCTCCTCCACAAGTTCACCAATCGGAAAGGGGGCAAAGCAGCTACCGTCAACCTTCAAAGCTACATGAAAGTGTTGAGGATGATGAAGTTATGACACAAAGATCGTCCGTTGCCATCACGATGCGCGATTTCTTCCCCAAAGACTTCTTCAATCACTCAGTCAAGACTTCTTGCTATAAAGATTGCAAGGAATGCTTCTCTAAGATCATTTGACAAATTCACAAAAGCTCCTCGTTCGCACGAGCCTAAAAAGGCGACAACCAAAGCTCCTTGTTCACACGAGCCTAAAAGGTGACAACAAACGCTCCTTGCCTGCACGAGCTGAAACTGCAAACGCACCACGCTCCTTGCCTGCACGAGCTGAAACTGCAAACGCACCACGCCCCTTGCCTGCACGAGCTGAAACTACAAACGCACCACGCTCCTGGCCCGCAAGAGCATAAACTGTGTACGGCAAAATCATCATCAAAATCATCACTCATTTGAACTACGTTATGACTTGATCTCTTCTTTGGAAGAGTACGTAGGCAACTTGAAACTTCAAAACTTCAAGTACAGTCACATCAAAATAAATAAATAAATGTTTCATTAAAGAAAATCAATTTTATTAGAAAAAAAAATACATATGTTACTATGTATTAGAAAAAAATATATATATATATATTCTCTATCAAAAAAAAAAAAAACATATGTTACTATGTATTAGAAAAAAAATATATATATTCTCTATCAAAAAAAAAAAAAAATTATACATGTTAAAGTGGGTTTGCCTACACTTAAGACCCATGCCAACTCAAAGAAACAGAAGTTGAAGTCCACAAAAAGGAGCAGCCCAAATCCAGGCCCAAGCCATGCCCAAAAAGGAATTAGACAAGCGAACAGTTTCGCCTCATCGATTTCCACTTTTACGGTCTGGATCTCTTGCAAGTAGGCCAACTACTCCAAACAAAAGTCGATCAAGTACCCCGAACTCAAGTAGGCCGACAACTCCAAATCTTTCTAATCCAAGAAGACGGTACCCTTCAGAGCCTCGGAAGTCAGCTTCAATGCGATTACCTGATGAAAGAGATAATGGCAGAGAGGTTGAACAATACCCCAGCAAAAGTAAACGGCTCCTCAAGGCCTTGCTTAGCCGGCGCAAGTCGAAGAAAGATGACATGTTATACACTTATTTGGATGAATACTGAGAAATTGAGGGAGGATGGACAATGGAAGCAGAAAGTCACTGTTTCCGGCTTTCCCCTTTTGTTTGATTACCTTTTCCTTTTACACAGCAGTGTAATGTTTTCAAGTTTTGTAAACAGTATATATCAATTATTACTTCCCATAAAAAAAATAAAAATAAAAAATCGAAACACGGTAAAAAGGGGGTTCACGGCAAAGCGAGCAAAAGTACTAGGTATAAATTTATTGTTTATAATTTGTTCTTTGTCTTGGTG